CAGCAGCACATGGACTGCGAGCCCCAGAGCAGCAATGTCCTGTAGCAGCACATGGACTGCGAGCCCCAGACCAGCAAATCCTACAGCAGCACATGGACTGCGAGCCCCAGGGCAGCACAGCGAGGAGCTCTGCTGCAGCCCCAGAGCATCACGCAGGCCCCAAGTCACAGGGTCGGCCGCGGGAGCAGGCAGCCCCGAGGCGGTGAGAGCGGGAGCAGGCAATCCTGAGGTGCTGAAAGTGGGAAAAGGGAGCCTGAAGCGAATTAGGAGCACATAGCCCGAGGTGGCTGTGAGGGCACAGTCAAGCCTTTTGAGGGATGCAAGCCCAAGACTGTGATGTTGAACTATGAACTGTGTTTTTTTTTTCCCATACTTTAGTAAGAAGGATTGTAACGTTCAAAATCTTCGCTTGCTTTCTTTGTTTCTCTGTTTTGTACTAAGATTCTGTGCCTTGGTACATTTGTACCGAAGATGATGCCATAAGTGGCAGCTTGTAAACTTTTCACTATATTCATGTGAGTGAGTACATGTGACAATAAAAGCTAATTCTAAAACTTGTAGTTTTGTAGAGGGACGGGTTGCACCTAAACTAGAGGGGAACCAATATCCTCTCAGTGTGGTTCACTAGTGCGACTCAGGAGGGTTTAAACTAGAGTGACAGCAGCAGGTCAGCAAGTGGAGGGATTGAGGTGGAGGTAGATATTAGGAGCAGTAAATAAGAAAGAAAAGACAGGCAGAGGCAGCTAAATGAGCACAATGTCACTAGTGGGCTGAAGTATGTTTATTTCAATGCAAGGAATGCTATAGGTAAGGCAGATATGCTTAGAGCCTGGATCAGTACATGGGACTATGATTTTGTAGCCATTACAGAGACTTGTTTGAGAGAGGCAGAACTAGCTGCTGAACATTCCAGGGTTTCATTGTTTTCGACGAGACAGAGAGGAGGGTAAAAGATGTGGAGGAGTTGCATTACTAATCAAGGAGAATGTTACATCTGCACTCAGACAGGATGTGCTGCAGGGGAAAAGGTGGATGTAATCACTCTGATTGGATTATACTATACCCACCCCCACCCCACACCCCACTGCCAACAGCCACTGAGAGATTGTGGAACAAATATGTAGACAGACAATGGAAAGATGCAATAAAATCAGATTTGTCTCAGTGGGTGACTTGCCCAACATTGACTGGGACTCCCTTAAAGCAAGAGGCTTGGACAGGGCGGAATTTGTTAAGTGCATCCAAGAGGGTTTCTTGAAACAGAATGTGGATAGTTCAACTAGAGGACAGGCTATACTGGACCTTGTATTGGCTAATGAGACGGGCCAGGTGACTGACCTTTCAGTGGGAGAGCATCTTGGTAACTATCAGTGGTCACAACTAGTTAAGTTTTAAGATATCTATGAACAAGGATAAGTCAGGACCTTGCGGGAGGGTACTACATTGGGGGAGAGTAAGTTACGTCAGTATTAGGCAGGAGCTGGCGAGTATTAATTGGGAGGAGCTGTTATCAGGCAATTCCACATTTTAGATGTGGGAATTGCTTAAAGACCTGCTGGGGAAGAGTTCAAGACTGGCATGTTCCAATAAGGAGGAAGGATAAAGGATGGCAAGGTAAGGGATCCTTGGATAATGAGGGAGGTTGTAAATTTACTCAAAAGGTAAAAAGAAACATATATAACATTTAAGAAGCTAAAATCAGACAGGGCCCATGAGGAATATACGGAAAGCAGCAAAGTACTCAAGCAAGGAGTTAAGAGAGCAAAAAGGGATCATGAAATGATGTTGGTAAGAGAATCTCAAGGCATTCTATAGTTGCATTAAGAACAACCGGGTAACCAGGGAGAAGATAGGACCACTTAAGGATAAAGGAGGGAACTTGTGCTTAGAGGCAGAGGATGTGGGTGAGATCCAAAATGAGGACTTTGCATCGGTATTCACTCAGGAAAAGGATACGGACGATACGTGAGATTTGTATGGAGCATGCTAATATGCTTGGTAATTTTGAGATCAAGAAAGAAGTGGTGTTGGATCTCTTGAAGAACATTAAGGTGGATGAGTCCCCAGGGCCTTGTGGCATCTACTCCAGGTTATCGACAGAGGCAAAAGAAGAGATTACTGGGCCCTTGACCAAGATCTTTGTATCCTCACTAGCCACTCGAGAAGTCCTGGAGGATTGTCAAGTAATTAATGTTGTTCCTCCGTTCAAGAAGGGAAATAGGAATAATTTAGGAAACTACAGACCAGTGCGACCACATCGGTGGTTGGGAAGCTATTGGAGAGAATTCTTATGGACAGAATTTACGCACATCTGGAAAAGCATGGCCTAATTAGGGACTTTCAGCATGGCCTTGTGTAGGGATGGTCGTGACTTAGTAACTTGAATGAATTTTCCGAGGAGGTGACGAAGGTGATAGATGAGGATAGAACAGTCGATGTTGTTTACATGGAAGGCTTTCAACAAGGTCCCTCATGGTAGGCTCATCCAGAAGATTAAGGTGTGTGGGATCCACAATGACTTGGCCGAGTGGATTCAGATTTGGCTTGCCTGTTGAAGACAGGAATATCGGTGGAAGGGTGTTTTTCTCGCTGGAGGTCGGTGACTAGCGGTATTCTGCATGGATCCGTACTGGCACCTTTCCTGTTTGTGATATATATAACTTACTTGGATGATGGATGGGTTAGTGCGTTTGCAGACGATACAAAGATCATTGGAGTTATGATAGTGTAGAAGGTTGTCAAATGAAACGGCAGGATGTACTTCAGTTGCAGATATGAGAGGAGAAATGTGTGCTTAATCCAGGTAAGTGTAAGGTGCTGCAGTTTGGAAGATCAAATGTTATGGAAAAGTATACAGTTACTGACAGAACTCTGAACAGTATTAATATCGAGAAGGATCTTGGGGTTCAAGTCCATAGCTCCCTGAAAGTGGCCACACGTAACATAGAAACAAAGAAAAATAGAATATAGGAGCAAGAGGAGCCCATTCAGCCCTTCGAGCCTGCTCTGCCATTCTTCACAATCATGGCTGATCATCCACCTCAATAGCTTAATCCTGCTTTTTCGTCATAACCTTTGATCCTATTTGCCCCAAGTGCGATATCTAGTCGCCTCTTGAATACATTCAGTGTTGTACCATCAACTACTTCCTGTGGTAATGAATTCCACAGGTTCACCACTCTTTGGGTGAAGAAATGTCTCTCATATCTGTCCTAAATGTAGATCGTGTGGTGAAGAAGGTGTATGGCAATGCTTGCCTTTATTGGTCAGGGAATTGAGCACAAGAGTCAGAGTGTCATTTGCAGCTTTATAAGACTTTGGTTCGGCCACATTTAGAGAATTGTATTCAATTCTGGTTGCGACATTACAGGAAGGATGAGGCTTTGGAGGGGTGCAGAAGAGGTTTAACAGGATGCTGCCTGCATTAGAAGGTTCGAGCTATAAGGAGAGACAAGAAAATCTCAGGCTTTTTTCTCTAGAGCTGTGGAGGCTGAGGGGAGACTTGATAGAAGTCTATAAAATTATGAGATGCATAAATAGGGTTGATGGTCAGAATCTTTTTACCAAAGTTGAAATGTGGGAGCATGCATTTAAGGTTAGAGGGGAAAAGTTCAAAGGAGACGTGAGGGGCAAGTGTTTTACTCAGAGGGTGGTAGGAGTCTGGAACAGGGGTGGTGGTGGAGGCAGATACAATAAGTGCATTTAGGGGATTTTTAGATAAGCACATGAATATACAAGGAATGGAGGGATGTGGACCAACGGCAGGCAGAATGGATTAGTTTTATCTTGCGCCATGTTCGGCACAACATCATGGGCTGAAGGGCCCGTTCCTTGCTGTACAATTCTATGTTCTGTGTTCTATTGTGAAAAGTGACTGGTATGGTTCAGCAAACTCAGCTTGAGGACACATACTGGTGAGGAACACAGAGAAAGAAACAAAGCCGGAAGAAAAGCAACCAAAAACAGCAGCACAATGAAAAACTGAAAAGATTACCTGTGCCTTTTCTAGTCATGGGTCCACTGTCAATGCTGCCACCAGCCCCCTTGGTTTTACAAAATGGAGGAGCCCAACCAACATCACAGTGACAGTTACCTTTGTTGTTGCAAACCTGAAACAATGAAAGATTTTAAAAACACGTATAAAATGGCATCTAGTGTAAAACCGTATATGGACAGGAGTTGTATGTGTAGTTGTCAGAAGACAATCTGCTGAACTGGAGATACCTTCAATCAAGCCACTGACTACCCTTTAATATATAAACTGGAGGTAGGTACTCATCCACTGTGAATATTGTTCACGGGAGAGTGATGTAGAGCAATTGCAGTCTATCATAAATAGAATGCAAAACGTGGGTATTTCATGTAAGTGGGAACTCAGTGTAGACAAAAATGGACAGATTCCTGTTTTCAGCATCAGTATTTGCAGGTCATGTAAGACTGATGTTGTAATGATATGAAATTTTTCTTCAGCAAATGATTCAGTATGTAGAGAAAGTAAAAGGGCACAACCAAGCAAGAAGGAAGTGGAAATAATCCAGACTAAGGTGTAACAGATTCACATGCGAGAGCTTGTGGATGGTTATTGAAGCAGGATTCTCGGCAGTGTGGAGGAACAGAGGGATCTTGGGATCCACGTCCATAGATCCCTCAGAGTTGTGACCCAAGTTGATAGGGTTGTAAAGAAGTCGTATGGTGTGTAGGCTTTCATTGGCAGGGGAATTGAGGTTAAGAGCCGTGAGGTTATGCTGCAGCTCTATAAAACTCTGGTTAGACCACACTTGGAATATTGTGTTCAGTTCTGGTCACCTCATTACAGGAAATATGTGGAAGGTTTAGAGAGGGTGAAGAGGAGAATTACCAGGATTCTGCCTGGACTGGAGGGCAGGTCTTATGAGTAAAGGTTGAGGTAGCTAGGGCTTTTTTCATTGGAGCAAAGAAGGATGAGAGGTAACTTGATAGAGGTGTACAAAATGATGAGAGGCATAGATAGAGTGGATTGACAGAGACTTCTTCCCAGGGCAGAAATTACTATTATGAGGGGGCATAATTTTAAGATGATTGGAGGAAGGTATAGGGGAGATGTCAGAGGTAGGTTCTTCACACAGAGAGTGGTGGGCATGTGTAATGCGCTGCCGGCAGTGGTAGTGGAGGCAGATACTTTAGAGACTTTTAAACGACTTTTGGATAGGCACATAGAGGACAGTAAAATGTAGGGTATGCAGGGTAGTTTGATCTTAGTAGGATAATAGGTCGGCACAGCATTGTGAGCCGAAGGGCCTGTACTGTGCTGTACTGTTTATGTTCTATGTTCAAATGTGCAATGTATGTTTAAATGACATGCTGAAGATGTCATCACCCTGTCGTGGCATGAGTGTGAACGGTCCGAAGATTCAAGAGGGCTGACTGAGGGCGTAGATAAGTATGTGAGGAGGGGATATTATAGCCTTTGCAGAAAAATGGCTAACGGAAGGACAGGACATTATTGGGATTGTACTATAGGCCCCCAAATAGTCAATGGGGCTTAGAAGAACAAATGTGCAGGGAGATTGCGGAAACTTGCAGGAGAAATAGGGTTGTCATAGTGGGGATTTTAATTTTCCTAATATAGACTGGCACTGCTGCAGTGTTCAGAGCTTAGATGGGATGGAATTTTTTTAATGTGTTCAGGAAAGTTTCCTCAAGCAGTAGATGGAGGATCCTACTCTGAAGGGGCAAAACTCAACCTACTCTTGGGAAATAGGACAGGACAGGTGACTGAGGTGACAGTGGGGGAGCACTTTGGGACCAGTGACCATAGTTCTATTAATTTTAAAATAGTTATGGAGAAGGACAAAACTGGTCCATAGGTATAAGTTCTAAATTGGGGCCAGGCGAATTTTGATGGAATTATACAGGAGCTTGCAGGTGTTGATTGGAGTAGTTTGTTTGCAGGCAAAGGAACCTTTGGCAAGAGGGAGGCCTTTAAAAGTGTGATAGTTCGAGTTCATGGTCTATATGTTCGTGGGGCGGTGAAGGGTAAGGTTGACAAGAGTAGGAAACCCTGGATGAAAAGAGATATTGAGGCTTTGACCAGAAAAAAGAAGGAGGCATGGCTCAGGTACAGGCACTGGAATCCAGGGAATCCCTGGAGGTATAGAGGGGATATGGGAATTTATTGAAGAAGGAAATCAGGAGGGCAGAAAGGGGGCACAAGATAGCTTTGGCTGAGAAGATTGGGGTGAATCCAAAGAGATTCTTTAAGTATATTAAAGGAAAACGAATACCTAGAGAGACAATAGGACTCCTCAAGGACCAAAGTGGACATGTATTTGTGGAACCGCAGGAGATGGGCGAAGTCGTCAATGAATATTTCTCCTCTCTGTTTACCGTGAAGAAAGACATGAAGACTTGGGAAGCTGGTTAGTTAGTGGCGATATCTTGGGGACAGTCCATATCACAGTAGAGGAGGTGTTGTATGTATTAGAATGTATGAAGGTGGATAAATCTCCTGATTCTGATCAGATATATCCAGAACCCTGCAAGAGGCTAGAGATGAAATTGCGGGTGCCCTGGCTGATATAGCTGCATTATTGTTAGCCATAGGTGAGGTCCCAGAAGACTGGATGGTAGCGAATGTTGTGCCCTTAGTCAAGAAGGGCTGCAAAGAGAAACCTGGGAAATATAGAACAGCAAGCCTCTTGTGAGAAGATTCGGAAGAATAAGATAAACATGCATTTGGAAAGACAGGGATTGATTAGGACTAGTTAGCATGGCTTCGTGTGTAGAAGATCATGCCTCACAAATTTGTTAGAGTTCATTGATGAAGTGGCCAGGAAGGTTAATGAGGGCAGGGCGGTAGACATAGTCTATATGGATTTCAGTGAGGCCTTTGATAAGGTTCCACGTGGTACACTGCTATGGCATGTTAGATCGCATGGAATCCAGGGAGAGCTGGCAAATTGGAATCCAGGGAGAGCTGGCAAATTGGAATCACAATTGGCTTGATGGTCCGAAGCAGAGAGTAATAGTGGAAGAATGCTTATTGGGCTGGAGGCTTGTGACTAGTGGTGTGCCTCTTAGGTCGGTGCTGCGCCCATTACTGTTCATTATTTATATCAGTGACTTGGATGAGAATGTACAAGGTATGATTAGGAAGTTTGCAAATGTCTCTAAAATAGGCGGTATCGTGGACAGTGAGGATGGTTATCAGAAATTGCAGCAGCATTTATTGGGTGGCACGGTGGCTCAGTGGTTAGCACTGCTGCCTCACAACGTTAGGAACCCGGGTTCAATTCCACCCTTGGGCAACTGTCTGTGTGGAGTTTGCACTTTCTCCCCGTGGGTTTCCTCCGGGTGCTCCGGTTTCCTCCAACAGTCTAAAGATGTGCAGGGTAGGTGGATTGGCCATGTTAAATTGCCCGTAGTGTTCAGGGATGTGTAGATTAGGTGGGTTATAGGGGGATGGGTCTGAGTGGGATACTGTGAGGGTCGGTGTGGACTTGTTGGGCCGAAGTGCCTGTTTCCACACTGTAGGGATTCTATCATATTGATCAGCTGGGGAAGTGGGCTGAGAAATGACAAATGGAGTTTAATATAGATAAGTGTGAGTGCATTTTGGAAAGTCAAATCAAGGTAGGAGTTTACATTGTGAATGGTAGGACCTTAAGGAGTGTAGTGGAAGAGAGGGACCTTGGCGTTCAGGTGCACAGTTCTCTAAAAGTGGAGTCACAGGTAGAAAGGGCAGTGAAGAAGGCTTCTGGCATACTGGTCTTGATCTGTCAGGATATTGAGTGTAGAAGTTGGGAAGTTATGTTGTGGTTTTACAGGACATTGGTGAGGCCGCACTTGGAGTATTGTGTTCAGTTTTGGTCACCTTGCTATAGGAAGGATGTTATTAAACTGGAAAGAGTGAAGAAGAAATTTACAAGGATGTTGCCAGGACTCAAGGGACTTATTTATGGGGAGAGATTGGACAATCTAGGTCTTTTTTCTTTCCAGCGTAGGAGACCGAGGGGGGGATCTTATAGAAGTGTATAAAATCACGAGAGGCATGGATTGGGTGAATATATTCAGTCTTTTTCCCAGGATTGGGGAATTGAGGGCTAGAGGGCATCCGTTTAGGGTAAGGGGGAAATAATACATGGGAACCTGAGGGGCAACTTTTTTACACAGAGGGTGATACACATATGGAATGAGCTGCTGGCAGAAGTGGTTGAGGCGAGTACATTAACAACATTTAAAAGGCATTTGGATGGATACATTGGAAAGGTAAGGTTTAGGAGGATATAGGCCAAGTGTAAGGAAATGAGGTTAGCGTTAGCATTTTGGTCGGCATGGGCCAGTTTGGGCCGAAAGGCCTGTTTCTGTACTCTCAGACTCCATGACTATGATTATCTATGACTATCTCACACTGTGATAGAGTCCGACAGCTTGGAAACAGACCCTTCAGTCAAAGCACTCCACCCCGACCATGTTCTCAAATTATATTAGTCCCACTTGCCTACATTTGGCCCATATCCATGTAAACCTTTCCTATTCATGAGCTTGTCAGAATGTCATTTAAATGTTGTAACTGTACCTGCATCGACCATTTCCTGTCGCAGTTAAATCCACACATGATCCACCCTCTATATGAAAAAGTTGCCCGTTGGACACCTTGTATATCTTTCTCCTCTCACCTTAAAATTAGGCCCTCCCACCCTCCGGAAAAGACCTTTGCTGTTCACCAATTTTATAAACCTTGATAAGTTCACCCCTCAACCTCTATGGTCCAGTGAGAAAAGTCCCAGTCTATCCAGCCTCTCCTTGTCGCTCAAATTTTATAACCTCTTCCTCTACTTATAATCCCAAAGATCCTATAAACCTTCCTAACAACTGTTTCAACCTGCCTGGCCACCTTCAGCGAATCATGCACATGAACCCTGAGGTCCCTCTGCTCCTGTATTCCCCTCAAAGTTGTACCATTTGAGGCTGTGTTGTCTTTGTGTGTTTCTTCTAACAAAATGCATTACCTCACTTTTCTCTGCATTGAAATTCATCTACCTGGTATCTGCCCATTTTGTCAATGTCTTTCGGAAGTCACTCAGCGTTATGCTCACAATTCATTATTATCCCCAGCTTAGTATCATCT